ATAAAATAGGAAATGCTGCAGAAGTTAATGTTGTTTTCTAGTGCTTCTTAATTACTGAATTCCCAAAGTTATTTGTGTGCTATAATGCACAAGGAGCCCAATTTTCCTTTACAGAAAATGACTGCATGTTTACAATCAGGTTGGCAAACTCATTAAAATATGTAATTATTAAGATCAGTGTACATGATGGAAGAGTGTGATTACAATATACAGACTTTAATTTATCATTACGACACTTTGCCCTAAGGCATCTGGATGGCAGGTGGTGATTGTTTCTGGAAAACAAGTTAAGGCTGGCTATTGTCAGAGATGATTCTTTACTGCTGCTATTAAAGGGATAGTTGTTGTTTTTCAGTGGGGTTGTATGAGATACTTGTCAACAGTAAGTGTATTGGCCAAAGGCGATGCCGGTACGCTCGGCCCCTGAGCGCTGGCAAGGAAGCTATGCTATACGAGGCCGTGTCATTTTGCAAGTTTTCAGAAAAGCACACCTAAAATATGACGATAAAATTTTACGCCATAATTGGGTTTATTTTTTTCGACGCATTACTTTGCCGTCATCAAGCCACTTTGTTTCGTCACTACTTCAGGATACAACTAGGGCTGTGTTAAAAAAAAATCGATATAACAATATATCGTTATGTGCTCCTTGCAAATACATGTATCGTTGCAGATGTTAGAATCGATATGGCTGCAAAGCTGTGGTGACAGTTTTAAAAGACCACTGACCTATGGTGCAGTTTCACAAAAACAACACAGCCATTGCTCTGGAATTAAAATATTTTGATGTATTTCAGGGATCTCTGAGGACCTGAAGTGTTTTAAGCTGTAGGATCCTGATGTCTCTGCTGTTACTCTCAACAATAAAGAACAGCTGTTGAAGTGAATTATGTGTAGGACATGGTCATTATCCGAAATCAATGTATATCATGATATGTATTGTATCGTGGGGCAGTGGGAAATACCCAGCCCTAGATACCACATACGTCTTCCTATTTGAAAATAAGCTAAATTACTTTGTGCAAATGGCCTCGTCTGCATAGCCGTGGAGCCTGGCACTCTGATCAGTTTCTCAATGAAGCTTACTACTGATTACAAGTACGTCATACCCACTTTAAAAACCTAAGTATCCATTTAAGGGTAGTATAAACTGCTGCCCATATACAGGGCTGGATTATCAACTGGGAAAATTGCCTCAGGGCCTAGAACATTTTAGAGGATCAGCAGGAGCCCAGCCCCAAATCAGTGCACTGGGCCTGCTAAATAGTTAATCTGGCCATGGTTAAACTCAAAACAGTCATCTTAAAAAACATGTTTTCTGTTAAGTGTTACAGCCTGCAAAAGGAGTAATCCAACACACAAGTGATGCAAATATTTTCAAACCAAAAGGAGTCTTTGATGCCCCTCTGTTTGAGACCACCTATCTAGCAGCACCCACATCCAGTCTGACCTTGATAAAACTGTGTGAGTTTGCGTGAGTTGTGAACTTTAACAGCCAAATAAAGCGCAGAGCAAACACAGACTAGCAGAACTTCCACAGAGGATTAGCTCATAAAGCAGCTGTGATGGGAACAACATGCTCCCACTCTCTTAAAAAACACACACGCACGCACGCACACACACACACACAGCTCTGAAATCAGCTTACATCTCTGAGCAGCCTTCTCTTACTTACTTCACCCATCACCTGGAGTAACAGGGTGACAAGTCCTGCTGTGCGGGAATGAACCTACATTATACAGTGTGTGTATGTTTGTGTATGTGTGTGTGTGTGTGTGTGTGTGTGTGTGTGTCAGATGGCCTCAGAGGAACAGGGCTCTCCCATTGGCCTTCCAGTCAAGGCCAGGACTGTGTGCTGACTGCGGTCAACACAAAAAGAACAGCTGACGTGGCCCAACTGTTGACAGAACACGAGGGACAGGACTCCCTCACTCTCAGCTTAGTGTATGTGTGTGCTGGAGGAGGGAGTGCTTTAATCTAAAAATATTTGCTTGATCTTTAACCACAGAGATGAACCACGCTGTCAGGAGGATTCAAACACCAATCTGTGTGCTTTGGCTCTGTGGTGTTTAAAGGCCACATGCGGATGGAAAATCCAGAGAGACTACATCCCGTCCTCTGCTGCACACTGATAACTATTTATAGCCTCGCACAAACGATGAGTGAGCAAATATGATAATGATGTCATAGGTTAAAAAGGCCTTACAGTATTGCACTCAGCACAAATAAACAGAACCGGGTTATTGCTGTAGATGCAGCTTTGCAAAGAAAAAAGTATTTTTATTTTGGTTGCAAAAGCTGTTTTTTTTTTTTCGGCAGCTGCATAAGTAGCAGAGTCTGAACTTGTGTTTGGATCGTCAAACTTTCTGTTAGACCGTACAGCTAATCATTCAAGGCCAGTGATGCTGCAATGTCATAGTCACAGCGGCGGGGAGGATGGAGGGATTGAGGGGAGACTGTCATGGGACCAGCATTGCATTGGTGCACAGTTAGATGACAGAAAATGTTCAAAAGGGAGGGATTCTGTCACGCGTAGCGTCTTCTTGTGTTTGTTTTAAACACTGCCATTGTAGGCAATGATGCAAATCAAAGAGAGAAGTATGTTTTAATGTGACAATGCTGATTCTACAGGATCCTTTATCGGTTTCATTAAGGATACACATTGGAGTTCACTCGTTTTCTGTCTTCTGTGGCTCCTGAGTGTCAAAAGTAACTGCGATGATGTCATAATGATGTCATCAGGGTTATCATGGCTTTGAGACTGCAATGTTTAACAGTAGGCCTGATTAACAATTTCCATGTGTAGGGTCTCAAAGACGTGAATGCTTAAAAGGCAGAGAGGGTTTAGAATGTATAATGCAATTGTGATGTTATATGGGAAATGTAGGATCCTGCATTTTGGAGCAGGATCTATACCAGAGATTAAAAGCGAGGATAACTCAGCCTGTGCTGCTTTGATTTTGACTACTGTTTCTTTAAGCAGTGTCTTGTCAGTACAGTATCTGAAGCAATGGAGAAGAACCCCCGTAAGAGATACAATTAATATACTTGCAGTTAAAACAGAAAAGCTCTTATTACAAGATTTTTGGCCAGACAGCAACATGCAGAAGTACCCCTGAGGAAACACAAATCTGAAAGAGCTATCACCTCCAGAAATGACTGATATCAGCCCTTATCTAGAACCACACACTGTGTTTGCTGTTACCGCTTGAAAATCACCTGAGACTCTTTCAGTTTAGTTAAACACGCAATCATTAAATTTGTTGGTGAAAGAATTCAGACGAGGAAAGCTTGTACTGTATATTCGCTTCTCACTGATTTTTCAACTCAAACAGAACAACATGAACATTCAGTGAAGGTGTTTAATTAAACTCACGGAGCACAAAACCTTCCTGATTTAAAGAACTGACGGCCTGATTAGCCAAAGACCGCTCAGTGTTTTCACATGTGGCCACCGTCACTGATTTGTTTTCATTGTCAGTACTGTCTGTAAAAGAAAAGACCCTTTATTGCCTAAATAAATCATGCTTTGTGTTACTTGTCATTTGTGTTTTTTTACTTCCCCTACATTTCCTTACCCAACAAGTGTTTTCCCTTTACCGGCTTCTGGTTTAATTTCCAACATTCTTGCTTTAAAAATAATGTCTAGAGCAGATTCACTATTGCGTCAGGGAGATAACTACACGTTGAGTGATTGGTATCAGAGCTTCATTTGTTTAATGTAGAAAATGTCAGAATATCTGAAAATGCAGATGAGAACTCCCCAGAGCTCACCGGGACATCTTGGCATCAGTGACTAATTGTTTATGTCCTGTGAGTAACAGTCTAAGAAATACTTAAATGTTTTCAGGGTTTTTATTCAGGTAATTTGCTGCTTTCCTTCATTATTAACATGTAAATCCATTCCCAGGAGCCTTGATTAGGGCTCATCAGTATTGTGATATAATATACAGTGCACATATATAGTGAGACTCAAACTGTGTCCCACCATATGACCCATCCCTCCACTGATGGCTGTAAAATTCAGCTCATGTTGACAAGCTGGAGTGTAACAAAAACAAACCAACAACTGATTGAAAATCACATGATTCTTATATTTAGTTTGTGATATGAACACGTTATATGTACAGTGGCACGTGTTGCTCAAAGAGTGTGCAGCTGCTTCAAAGCCCTCTGCCTCCTGCTGTGTTTAAAACATTACACAATGCCAGGATGAGAAATCAATACGGTGATATTGTGTTCAGAAGCAGTCAAAGATAACCACATTATATCCTGCTTAATAACTGTAGCCTGAGCTGATTCTTCAATTCATTAATCGATGACACTTAAATGTTTTGACACTTCTGATGGAAAATTTCCGAATCAGTTCTGTCAGCAGTGCTGGGCAGCTCTCCAGTGTAACTACGCCCGTTTAAATTACAGCCTTCTATGGTGCTGTATTTACTGCAGGTCACATCATTACTTGGTGGTTTTGTCTAGAGCATTTACAAGATAGATTAATTGTCATGGTGCAATCAACCAAAGAATCGGACCGTACAGGTGCGTAAACTTGGTTCCTGAAATCGACGCAACCAAGCAGCTCTCGATTTCCCCTAATAAAAACAAAGTCACACCCACTCTGATTCGGACTTAAACCACGAGGGTCTGATGCAGTTTGTGTACTACAGAATATAATACACATTACAGAGACTCCAGAGCGCGCCTAACGGGATCCATATTACGCAATATGCGTGCAAAGCGTGTGTAGCCTGTGCGCGCCTGGAATAATCCCTGGTAATGTGAATTTGTAGTGATCATTTTATACCGTACCGTAAGAAAAGTGGCAAACAAGTGTGCTTTTAGGTTTTGGTGGCATGATTTGTCCTAAAGAGATGGCACAGATTAACAGAGACGCCCACCACGACCACGGAGCACCCAGTGTGGCGACACGGTGGAGGAATATAAACAGACAGTGTGCCCTGACAGTCGAACCATGTGGCACAAATTAAGCGCCAACTTACTTTTCCTGCATGATATTCTCCTTGATGGCTCCCAGGGTGGGGAGGCTGCTCTGCTGGAGTCTGCAGGTGGCCAGGTGCCGCTGGTGCTGATCTTTCAGGCATGCGTTTTCCTTGCAAAGATCCGTCACCTGGAGCTCCAGCTCGTCAATCCGGACCCTTTGCTTCTCCAGCAGCCCCTGCTGCGTCTCGATGATCTTATTCAGCTCCTTTAGATACTCCGCCGCCTTGCTGGGGTTCTCCGTCGGGCTCTCCATCATCTCGTAAAAGCCCCGTTGCCCGTCCATGGAGGCGATATCCACACAACCAGAAAAGCAGCCCTCTCTCTCTCACACACACATACACATACATACACACACACACGCACACACACACGCACACACACACACACACACACACGCGCACACACAGGCGCGCACTCAGGAGTAGTAAGACTGAGCGTTGTCAAATCCAGAGATCCACCTTCGCTCCGACATGGCTGGTGTGTCGTGTTGAAGTGACAGCTTTGCCGGGAAGTTGGCCGGGTTTGTTGCGCTGCTGTATACGCCGCCGCCGCGTCCACGAGCTCTGCACCGCAACAGCCGAACTAACCTAGAACCAGCCGCTCCGTACATGAGAAGACCGTTTAACTCTTTCAGGGCTGCCTGGGAGGTTCAGCGCTCCCCGGCAGCGCGTTCCGCTCTTTCTCTCGAAATCAGTGCTGCTGTGTGTGTGTGTGTGTGTCTTTGTAATGAAAGAGACGGCGAGTTTGGTTCAGTGCGTGTGCACCTACACTCAACAGGTAGGCTGAGTTTCCGTTGCGTCAAATCACGGGTGCGCAATCACGGCGACACCAGGGTTCGTTTGCGCGTGGTGTCAGTCAGCTGTGTGAGTGTTCATGCGGGGTGGTGGGGGGGGGGGGGGGGGGTACTTCTCTATCCACCAGCATGCAAACAGCAGGTCAATGGTAGCCTGACAAATGCCTGTTTGTTTTTTCTGAAAGAGAGATCGAGTAAAAAGTCAATCGTTTTAAACAGTTCTTCAATAATAAGCTCTAAATTACATAGCCTACTTTGAAAACTTACTTTAGAATTAACTCTGGAAAACATTATTTGTAGAATTCTTTGTGTTAAAAGGTTATTTTTTTTAATTCGTTGTTGCTTAGGCAGGGCCTTGATTAAGCCATAAATGAGCAGCTGGGCCCTTTGAAAAATGACTTCAAGAAATAATGCAATAAGCAAGAACAGTTTCTTGATCTATTTTGGACACCTGACAAACAGCAGAACAAGCTCCAACCTTAAAACAGACATTTCCTATGTCAGCTGTTTTCTGGAAACTATAGGTGCATGAAAACAGTTACACAGCGATGGTCATAAAAACGACATAATATGCTGGAAGTTCCCCTCAACTCTCTGCAGCTGTAGAGACGGGTTAAACTTGCATGTATCTTGGTTCCTCACTATAGGCTACATGAGAAGTGGTTGAAAACAGTTAAACAACACACACCTTTGACTAAAACCAGGAAGTTGGGAGGTCTCTCCTCCTTTGCATGTTCGGTAATACAGCCTTGATTAAAGAAAAACTGAAGTAATGTCTTACAGAAAGGAAGTATACTCTTACTTTCCCCATCTAATTAAAGCCATTCAGTCATTTCCCTTCCTACCAAATCACTGTATTCTTTCATGTTCATAAAAGGAAGTGTTGCCTCATGTTTCTCTGTGTTTTTATTGGGCCCTAACACATAAAGGGCCATTTCTCTCCCAGATGCCGACTGGTGCTGATCAGCTGGATATGCAGCAGCTGTCTAAACTGGAGCTCGATGGTAATATATTTTAAATGGAGAATGCTAACATGGTACCACCTCTGCACCTGTGTGAATCACTCATAAGAGCATCACAAATTCAGAACATTTAGAAGCTGTAATATAATAATGAACCTGCCAGCTTCCCCCACACAAACAAATAGAAATCATCCACAATATGAGGCAGTTGTCGTTATCATATCTGAGACCAACTGTGAGCCCATCAACACTCATCTGATGAGGCGATAGCCAACGTCTGGGCCTTTGCTGCTTCTGTCAGATATCCAGATTGCTGATGAGAGATATTCAGAACAAAAGTTTATTTTGTGTGCTCGGGGTCGAGATAACAGTAGATCTAGCAACTTGTGAAGATGTAATAGACTCGACTCAGAGTTAACATCAAGTCAATGACCTGATTGGTTTCAGTGCTGTGTACACACACTTTGTGTCAGACAAAAGCAGATTTGATTTGGGATTCAAGCACAGCATACAGTATGTGCCCTGCCTCTTTTGTTAAGAAACTGTTCTGCAAATCTTGCAAAAACATGAGTGGTCAATTCTACACAGACTGCAAATGGACTACAAGAACTAGTTCTGGATTGACCTGCACGATAACATTATATAGTGAAAGTAATATTAAATTACATTTTTTTTAAATCAATTTTTTGAATCAATTTAGGGCCATAATTGGAGAGAATGATTGCATTGGAAAAGACTATTGACTTAGAAAATACAACTGCTACCTAATTGAACATGACTTCCTGTCCAAGTCTCGCCTCCAGGTAAATGAGTTGTCTTTAGATTAAAAGCTAGTCATTTCAAAAAGGATAACACGTGTAGAATTAAAGGTATACAGTAGACAGTAGATCAGAATACAGTTACAGGTAACCCTTTATAGGTTAAAAAAAATCTTATCTGGGGAGGTAATTAGTTAAAAATGATTTTCACAAAATCCTCTCTGTGTCAACTCTGTTAATGAAACATTTTCCTTTAAAAGATAAAAGTGATCTTGTTTTATTCCAGCAGTCCATCATCCAATGATTTTATCTGATAATATAACCGGACGGAACGCGTTGTTTGTTTGAGAAAATAATCAAATTAAAAGAATAACTAATTCTGCCTTCTTGTGTGCAGAGATGTAACTTAATACCTTTGTGTTATTTTTTGCTTCACATTTTCTGTCTATCTCTTTGTCTGACCACGTCCACTTGTCTACTGACGACCCCCCCCCCCCCCCCCCCGTGAACAATTCCATATCCAAATAACAAAGTGACCTTTAATCTCTGTTAATATTGTACTTTTTGATTTCTTCTTTGTAATTTTACAAAATGTTTAATGGATGAAAAAACATCAAGAATCACGAAAACGAGATCCCCAAAAGATAAATAAGCATGCCCACCTTTAGAGGACAAAAAATGGAGTGTGGAGCAGTTAACCATGACTGAATCAGTGTCTTTACCCGCCTTTTTAAAGGATTCACTGTAAAAGTTACCATGACACAGAAAGCAGCAACTGCATGGTCATTGTGTTGAAAATCCCAGCCCACCAGTATGGCCCAAATTCTTACTTTTTGATTTAGAAAAAAAACACAACTTCTGCTTTTACCCCCCAAAACATTTCATTTTATAAACACACCAGGGTAAATGAAACACGTCATGCTCTCCTCCTGTCTTTGCACTGTGTGATGGAAGGTGATTACATTGAATCGTCAGGACGGCCGCGGGTGTTTCTGACATGTTGCTCACTCTGTGATCTACATCTCTTTTAGATTGAATGTACCTTACATCATGGTGCTTCAGTCTGTGGGGACAACAACACTGTTTGTCTATTCTGCAGCGTATGAATCCTTGAACACATATGCACTAAGCTCACTGTCATGACAGCAATCTAGCTTCACTATCCAGGATTAAGACATTTGATTTTTTGATTTATCAATAAGAGTATGCAGTCCTAAACTGGTTGCATGATAAGGAATTGCTTTTACTGAATATGTTCATCAGGAGGTTTTGATTTTTCCTCAGAAAGAGGGTGAGAAATGATCTATTTTTTTCCTTGTTTGAGTGGAATGACTACAAATTGAAACCAGGTTTCTGTGCTGTCTTTTTGCACACTGCCATGTTTTCACATAAAAGAAGCGGAGAGGCACATACAGCTTGTCATTATCCCTCCTGCTCTCATGCTCGTATAGCTGCTTGATGGGTCTCTCACACTGTGATTGCCCTCTAGTGGTTTGCTTTGTTCAGAGCACTCTGCAATGATGAGGCTGCTGATGTTTGACGACTTTGAATCAATTTTCGAGATCGATATCTGACTTGTAAAGAGGGTTTGGAGCAGTGATCCGAAGTGATTGTGCTCGGCATTGAGTCGCAGAATGAATCTAGTCTCATCTGGTGCGTGCAGGACTCTAACAGCTAAAGGGAGGAGGAGGAGGAGGTGTGCGCTCACTGACAGTCACATCACAGCCGGCAAATCCTCAGTGCCATTACCTGGCAATTGCTTTTTATGCAATGCATCCCATCTTCCCAATGAGAGAGTGGGGAAAGATAATATGCATAAATCACCAAAAAGATTCTATGATCATTGCTTGGAGAAATCTTCAAAGCATGGAGGAGAGTATGGGCAAAGTGAATAGTAAAAAAGGCAGATTTTTTTTTTTTTTCCCCCTCCTTTTCAGAAGTTATATTTAGACTCTGAGGGTATTCTTTTGCCTTTTGATGCAACAGCTCCGTCATGCAGTGATGCTGTTCGGCCGAAGCAAAACACACATGTAGCTTCCTGCTGCGTGCAAGTTTTCCAGCTGATCTGCAGACTCCTCGGTTCAGAGCTTTATGGTTCATGTCGAAATTTCATCTTTTTTTGTGCGATGAACTGGAGTCTCATCTCTCAAAAAGGCCAACGTATCAAAGGTTGCTACAGTAACTGTGACAGCTGCAGCTGTAACACTAAATCCCATATGTCCGTCGCGATGAAAGAAAGACAGGCTCAAGTGGGGGGAGATGTTCACCTCACACTCCACCGCAGATGTCGATAAAGCAAAAAAAAAACCTGCGCCCGAGTGGCGAATTGGGAAAACACACATGGGGAGTGTCTGTTATTCCTGCCGGCTCACAGCTTGTAATTCAATTTGACTGCTGCGAGATGCTATCGAACTTCATGGTTTAAGACGCAGTCATGGCCTTTAATACAAAACCTCAGCAGACTGCTCCCTTCCCTCAATGCAACGACAAAGTTGAGAGACGAACAAAGAGAGAAGTTTTCTTTTTTCTTCATGTCTCTAACGGCTGCATTCACAAGTTTTTTTTTGTGTTTTTCTGACCTCAAGTTTGGATTTGATACCCACTCCCATCAGCTGTTGTTTTATCTACTGCACCTGAAAAAAAACAACATGGAGCTTAAACTCCTCCAGAAGGATTCGAGGGTGGGGGGAATTCAAAAGTTTCCAAGGTTAGGCTATTTATGTGTAGCAGAAGTCTGGAGACATATTTGGGTCAAGTCTTGTCTTGAAGGGGAGGGTAAAAAATATCACCATATGCCAGTAATATCACCATGATCACCATCTATGTCTGAAAGCCTTTCACACATGCAGAATACACCTGGAAGTTCCCCCAAACAGCTTTATCTGTCACCCTGACTTTATCCAAACTTCTTTCAGATAGCCCCCTTGTGGGCAAGTAGGGCGGCGGAGATGACGCCTATATCACGCCACTGCTGCACAACAGGTTCGATCTAGGGTCATGTAATGAAGCTGCTTCATGGCCTGTTCTGTCATAGCATGTCCTTTGCCACTCTTTTGTTTATACTGTGAATACGTCAAATTGCATGCAGTATTGATGTCAAGGCTAAGGCGTCGTTTCTGAACCTGTTTGCTTCATTCACCACTCCTGCAAACGTCCTCTGCACGTCATGTTTTTACCTCCTGAGACTCATCCTCCCGTCCCGTCAGGATAATCTCCCGCTGCGAGGGACAACATGTGTGAAAAGAGAAACTCATGGAAGGTTTCAGGGACAGGCTGTTCTGAAATTATCTAGACACTTTTAGCAGCGCAAATTTAAAGAGGAGTATGGGGTATCTCTCCAGCTGAATTGAGAAAAAAAAATGTTTTGCAAGCGTGAAAAGTCTGCATCTGGGCTGTCTCTTGTAACCGAGATGCAGACTTTTCACGGTCAGCTGACAGTGACAACACTTATATGAATTTTTTAGCCATGAAGGGAATTTCTCCTCCAGTCTAAGTGAATGTAATTTTGGTTATTTATCAACTTCACTTCACTTGTTATCTAACAACCAACATTTGAAAGATTTAGTAGGAATGTCTTTATGCATTGTTGTTTGTTGTTACTTTAAAAACCTTATTTACTCCGACTTTTTGACTGATTTTTAGTTACCAAGTGCAATCTCGTATTTTTAAACTCTATTTTGACCTTCACATTCAAACAAGACATTTTAGATTTCATTCTTGAGTTTATGCAGCAAGTGATGCATGTCTGACTCTCACATTCCCCCAGCCATTCTGTTAACACAAATACATTTTGTGGTTTTAAATCTCTGATCCAGCTTCAGCTAAACATGTGATGTGTCTCTGTCTGCTGATGAAACTGTTAACAAAGTTACCAAATCAAATAAATCTACATAAACTCCGTCAGTCACTTTTCTCTATTCTCAGGTTAGAGAAGATTCATTTATGTAGAAATCAAACAACGTCAACTTCAATAAAGTGTCTCAATATGATTCAGACAGCTGATTAAAGCCACCAGTCTTTAGACCTGCTGATGAAAGGAACAGACAAGAAGGAACAGAGTTTCTTTTTAAGTTCTCCGGTTGCTCATATTGTGGATATTTAAGGACCTTAGTGATTTTATTTCATCTGGAGAAAGAGTTGGAGTATATTAGTTTAGTTTATGCTGTTCAGAGAAACTGTTACAACGCTTTTCACTAATGCCAAACACAGACAATATTTGATGGAACAATAAAAACACCAAATTAGGACTAATGTGAATAAAACATATAGCAAATTGAGACCACACAAGCAATACGTTTAGTTTATAAAAATCACATTTTACAGTACATATATATGTGATATTCCAGGTCTGAAGAGGTCAAGTTTCAATATCATCGATGCATGTTTTCGATAGTTCTTGACTTTTAAAACTTCTTGTAAACCAATTCTAAAAGTGCACGTTTTTATCTTATATCTGACGAGAGGGTTTGAGTCCTGGTATGTGTCTGTATTTGATTCACTGTGTCAACCACAGTTTAAGAATGAAGTCCCTGTAGCACTGATTTGATCGTGGTCTAAAACGTATGTTAGCACTTCAGGTCAGAGATCAAAATGCCGGAGCGCAGCTGTTTGAACTCGTCGGTGGCGGTGACTGAATATCTTGCCACATTATGAACCAATAACAAATATGACATGTTCATATATTTATAAGTCATACTACCTCGGAATTTCCTGCTTTGTAGACTGTGCAGTGCATGTGCCACAGCTGCACAAGCACCTGGGGTCCTTACAGGGTCCTTGGCTTGCTCTATTACTACATATTATTCACTGAGTAAAAGTTAAACCTGAATGTCTGAAAAGTATACGACGACTTTAATAGCATGACAATCATATTTCAATTAATTATGTTAATTGCCTCCAGATGGGCTGTTGTTTACTTCCGCATTCCAGGACCGGAAACCAGTTTAACCGTGCCAAGCATACTGCAAAATAACAACGACCGGCAGTCATACTACATACTGCTGTTGAACTCAGTATACAGTATACAGTATATACTGCATACTGATTTAGATAGTAGTATGTAGTATGCTGTTTTGAAAACAGCAACAGTCTCCTTGTTTGCACTTGTTTGTCTTTATCTATTGCTGCCATCTTATCTACTTACACTTTATGTAATAGCTGCTTCAAGTCAGTGTGTTTTTTAAAATAGATTTTCACCAACAATGGAGTTCAATAACTGTATTGTATGAGGTATGAAAATAGAACTTGTCAATGGGAGATGTTTATTGGCAGTTTGTTCTCTTCGAGGTATTTGGTAATAGCACAAAAAAAAGGATGAAATCAGCTTTATTCTAAATCCATCTAGATGATAGCTACTGTAGTTTATCCTGCCATTGTTGGAGCTCACCTACATATCAAAGGATAGATGGCAGCTGTTAATAGGACACTGTCACCTCTCCCTCATCTCCACCTCTTTGTCATCCTGTCATGTATCTGGATGGAGGTTTGATGGATTGAAGGTTGAGTGAGGCTGACTTTATAGCATCACCGCTGTACTGTACGTTCTATTGTATATGATTAGGAACAGCAGGATCACAGCTTTCGTCCTAACATTTCTCTTCTGATTACACGAGAGACGGGGAATTTAAATGTTCTATTTTCAGTTCAAAACAGAAAGTCTATGCCATTTTTATGCAGTTTTCTCTTAGGCAGACACTTCATTTTTCCTTTTTTTTCCACTTTGGAGCAGATATCCATTGTATATCCGTGTGACTGCTGAGGTTTAAAAAAAGGAATCCATTACAGCTTCTTATGCAAGCTTGGAATATTGATTTCTCAATAACTATTGGTCATATTTAAATATACAATGGATAATAGTCTTGGAGAATACAATGCGTATTGAAAAAGCATGAATTGTCCACTTCTTTGTGTGCCTGACAAAGATTTGTAGTCTCAGCTGAATGCTTTGAATTCTGAGAGAATGCCTCTGTGCTCAATACCGAGATCCATCAGTGGAAACCAATAAGGGTGTTCTATTTTCCTGGGTCCAGTTTGATATCATGGTCTGCCCTGCTCATTGTCTGCCTCTGATGGATGGGCAGTGAGTTGAAACCGCTGGTGTTAACACTGACATGCTATCTAGCATCAGACATCTGTGGTTTGGTTTGTCACCGTGATAAAGACAGGTGCTGTGGAACGCTGTGTTCCTCAGCCAAACAAAGACAACAAAGCTGCTTTCACAGCTGTGTGCCAAAAAAACATTGTTTTTGTTCTGCGACACAAAAATAAATGTTAAAATGTGAGCTTGACCAAACACAAAGTCTGCCCAAAAAACACATTTTAGAGATAGTGCAAGTGCATATATACGCTCGATGCAAAGTGAATGGACAAAAAACAACAACTACAATGTATACTAGAAGCTGAACATTTCAGCAAAGGGGCATCTTAATAAACTGAAATGTGAGAAAACATTTTTGCACTCATCCTGATAGTTTATTTGATGAAGTCAGCTGTGTCTCGATTCAGGTTCTGCATCCTTTGAAGGGTTCTTTTGCAGACTGAAGCTCTTTTCACATATCCACTCCTGGAAACTTCAGGCTGGCTGCCCTTGAAATCTTCCTGAGTTGGTTTGCTCACGCATCTTCCTCACAGCAGGAGACTATCCCTGTCGGATGGAGGGGGGGGGGAGGGGAGGCAAGACATTACTATAAAAAGAACAATGCAGACTTAGTGGATGAAACAACAGAGTCCTCTATATGTGGCTATCATGAAAACTTTTACCTTCAAATCAATGCTACCCCTCGTAAGACACAATCACAATATCAACAAAAGAGTGGATAAGAATGTACTGGGGACAGAAAACATAATGAAGCAGTTTCATTATGTGCTCAGAGATCACACCTGTTGCGTGCATACAGTCTCTGGTCCTGTGCCGGCTGCAGGATATAAACGTCACCACCCCTCTCCTGCCCTTTGCAGTGAATTTGACTGAGTAGTACCTGCTGCGTTCTCACATCACCATGACGACAAATATTAAAAAACAAAAGTGATACATTAAGTTATGTGATGTTGGTTATGCTTGCTAATTCCAGTGCAGCTGTTGAGGTTGCTATAGGCAACAGGAGTGGCGCTTAGTAGTGAAAGGGTAAGGGTGGAAACAACTGGTGATGCAAATAGGAAAATCCTCTGTAGACTCAACCTTCTCATTTACTTTAAGTTCTACCTGAGCGGTCTCCACAGGCTAAGAAGGCCGGGTCCTACGAAGGATGGTTCACCTGAATTGGGGCACAGAAGTAAAGTCATGACACAATATTGACTCACACTCTTAGTTGGTATGTTGCGAGCTACCATTGTATTCAGTCCATCAGGGAGGTTAAGCTGTTCCTGAAACCAAATCATTAAGCAGCACGTTAATAAAAGATGAACAGCATACATCAAACAGCCCAAAAGTCCTCCAGTGTGCATGTTTACCAGTGTGTTGTATTGTTGCTGTTCCATTATCATGTTTCTCTGATCTTGTTTGAGGAGATGAATGTACCTAACCATGACTCATGTAAGGAACATAAAAGAGACTATAGCCTCATGCAGTGATGGCAGCTTTCCTCTTGTTATCATAAATGGATTCATGATAACAGTACTTGGTCTGAAATGTTTTTGTTTTTTCTCAAGATAGAACTGATGTGTTTTTTTTTTCGAAAAAGCATCAAAGTCTTCGGGGTTAAAGATATCCTCCGTTGCATTCAAAAACTTGCAATGTGACGCGCACGTAATGAGAGAAAGAGGAGATAAATGTAACTCTTAAATGCGTTTCAGACACATTTCAGCAGAGTGGCACTTTGCAGTTTTGCAAACATCTCCCCGTGGCGGAATATTAAAAATGAATCAAAACAAGTGGCTCTTTCATCAAAATGACACTGAAATGGTGGATAGAGGATTGGGGTTGGTGCTGCTAAATGTTTATTGCATACTCGCGTCGAAAAAAAAAGAACCATCAGTATGGAAGTGGAAGTCGAAGAATTATGTGGGATGATGCTTTTGACAACCGCTTTATCTTGTAATTCAAAAGATAGCTGGAGCACCCACAAAGAGGATTCATCATCAATAACTGGGCGTTCGTTGATTTCAGTCCCAGAGGGGGGGATTGATTGTTTGATGCTGAGCCACCAGCTTCAGGTATCAGAGTTAAGCAAAGACAGTGATTGAGCACCGTTCATCCAGCACTCGTGCATTCTCATTATTAGGAGGAATATAAAAGCTTAAAAGAGCAACCACCGCCCTGAAATTGCTGATGCCTTGCCCCATCCTCTCTGTCAGATCAGGTATGTTAGCTATCTCTCACAGGGGAGGAAAGATGCACTCTCTCCGTGGTTGCTATAAATCAGCTCTATCCCTGAGCTGACACTCAGCAGAGGACTGATCGGACCGACGGCAGCAGCTTACATATCGTCAGGAAGCAGGGGTGAGGCCATTCAATAACCCACACTGTGTCCATTTTTACATTTCCTCACACCAGAGACCTTTTCAGACGGCCCCCAGGGGATAATATCTTCCTCTATCATCGGCCTTGTGAACTGGTTTAGGTTGATATCAGACTTTATATCGGCTGCTTCCTGCTGTTAAGAAAAGGTTACTGCCAAGACCAGAAGAAGAAAATTACATTTACTCCTGTTTGTTGTAATGGCCAGAGGTCAATCAATTCCCTCTGTTCTTGAACAATATCAGACAAACTCTTTGATGTATATATTTAAAAAGGACAAGTCTGAAAGTATAGCCTACATATTGGCTACATAAAACTTTGTTTCCTCAGCAAGGGCCTAAATGTGTAGGAGTGTGATTAAGCTGTAAAAAGAAAACTCATACTGTTACCTTTGGCAAATATGTAAGCAGACTGAGGAGTTGCACATTAGTCATGCAGTGTCGTTTTGCCCGAGAGCATGGCTGGTTTTGGTGTAATTTATGTGTCCGATGAAAACTTGTGTAAAAAGGGGGCGGCAGTAGCTCACTCTGTAAGAACTCCAGAATCGGAAGTATGGAAGTTGGTCTGGTAGCTGGGAAAGTACCAGGTCACTTGAGCACTGCCGAGGTGCCCTTGTGCAAGGCACCCAACCCCGCAACTGCTTGGGTGCCCCTTCATGTGCAGCCCCTCACTGACTTCTAACCCTTAGTGCACGTCCATCGGATTCTGTTTGTGCATGTGTGTGTATTTCAGCCTCTGTCGTCCCACAACCATCGCCTGACTCCCAGACTCCACCATCGGACTGCGTCGTCCCCACAACCACCACCGTCCTCATTCACGCACGGTCCGACCTCCGCCTCAACGGCAAGGAAGTGTGGACAACAGGAACGTGAGGAATACAAAGGAGAAATTCTTCCTGCACATTATCCCGTATGCTCGCTTGTAAAGCCTCTCGAGATAACACTTTTAATGAATTTGCTCCATACAAATAATGATTGACAGACATGTACATTTCTTCAGTCTCAGAGTCACATTTCCTTCTCAGCTCACAACAGACACTTCAATCCAAATATAACTCTGTTCCTATGAGGTCTCTAACACATATGTATTACAGCTTCACAAACCTAAAAGATGAATTACTCTAGATATATCGACAAAATTAATAAAGATGAATGAATTCATGAAAAAATGTACTAACAGATTTATTGATTGATTGATTGATTGATTGATTGATTGATTGATAGAATACAGTCCATGCATGTAATTATATCAACTAGGAAAGAAACCATGGTGCTCATCTTGTAGGCCGACATTGTTGTTTGTCTTGTCAGGTGACAATTACATTGTTGCTGTCACTGGTTAAGAGATGACACTCATGTTAACAGTTCACCCATCCCTCACCATGACATTTCAAGGGATACATAGGAAAAGTCTGAATCACCTTTTTTGCAGGCAACAGGTCTGCATTGCACTTTAGAGCTCTGTATGTTTGTGACTGTTGGCGCCAGGTGGACAGTTAGCTAGTTAAGAGGCTAAGTGTGAGCTTAAACTATCTTTGGTATTTGTTGTGCAATTTTTCCATTACTAAAAAACATCAATTAATAATAAGCTGTGGGTAAAGTTTAGTATACAATCTTGATTTAAAGTACTTTCATGGACTTGACTGCTCAACACAAAATTGACGAAGTTGCTGTAGCTTAGATCAAGACGAGAACATCTTACATTCTTTTTTCCAGTATGCATTTTCTGAAATTGTAATATTGTACAATGCTGGTTTGAAAATGACCATTGGGCCAAATTTCAGCTCGATTGCGCATCGTTTGCCGTGCTGTGTACATATGACCACCTGCACCCCAACAGGTCAATGAATGTCAGGCAAATTCAAAATTATGATCATACGACTGCATACTCTCACTCAGTGACTGCACAGCCTATTCCCTTCAGTCCATTCTTCCTGATTGCGCCTGTGCAAACTGGCTGATGGTGTCTGACAACAGCAGTCATGTCTGTGCAATTCATTCAGTGTGAGGTCACATTCCACCACAATATTTATGCTATCATACAGCACACACTTGGCCTAGTACACATGGTTAACACAGAAAAAAAAATCACTACAAATGATTGTCATTTTAAAAAAATTGACAGATGTGAAAGATGTTTGTATTTAAAGAAGTCCTTACAGAACTTTTCAATACTGTGTCAAATTGTACAATTATACCGTCAATAAATGCCAAGTGTGTCGTTGCAGCTGTAATCATCCATGTCAAACATGAAGCCAAGATCACTTTAACTCCATGTTCTCTGAACGCCCTTATTTGTTTTTCTGTTTCTGTTTCTGGAAAGCACAGCACAAAGCAGTTCTCTAAAATCCCTTTTTATCCTATTTGGCAGTTTGCAGAATTGTTTGATTTTTGCTATCTTATATTTGACCCTGTTTCCTCAGAGGCCAATATAAAGTTTATCACCATATATTGGGCCCCTGTTCTGAAGACTGTCTAAGCAAACTTTTTAAATTGCTTAGTTTATACTCAGAGGGAGAAACAGGAACATCACTCGTTTGGAAATTTCCTTCTCTGTAATGCTCTGCTTTGTTTACTCCCCAATAACCAGCATTTAGTTCTCTGTAATGGGACTCATTCAGGTGAATTGACTACAGCCTGTAATTCACTACAATCACCATGTAATCTCTGTGCCAGTGCTAAGAGTGGGTGGTGCATACTTCTTCAGCAACATTTAGTTTCACACTCCTGCTGACCTACCAAACATATTCCTGTGCTGTTGTTTTTTTCTTTTGGGTTTTTTGTGTTACTGCATAAAATCTGACATAAGTGGACTTAGTCTTGTGGAAAATGTCAGAGTTATGACTGATAATGTAGTGAGATTAATGGATTCAGCCTTTAAAGGTTCATTTCTATCACAAAGTGGGTGTTTGTTTTCTATAGTTTTGACAGTCATTTCATCCGTTTCAAGGAGACTGGAGACAAGGAGACAAGAACACAGACTAAAGGAAAGTTAAAGGTTTAATGAATAACTTACAGATTGAGGAGGGCAGCTGAAAGCGAGGAGTCAGATGGTAGGCTATCCTGTTTTCATTTTTTTTTAAAGTAAATGGCTGCATGTCAGCAGGCTGCTAATGATCTGAGATTGCTGGCAGGCGAGGAAGAGTCAACGAGCATTCCCAATAAATCAGCAGAAGACTGGTTGATATGGGATTCAAAGAAACACAAAGGAAAATTGGAAAAGAGTTGTGGTTAAAGCAAAAATATTGTGAACACATTTAGAAATTACACAACACATTAGTATGTCCACATTTTGGCACTTAGAAGAGGAAAAGTAAAAAAAAAAAACACAAAAACGAAAAACGCTTCAAAATGAAGCTTAAAATGTTGGAGGCTTGAAACCTGAACCAGCCGTCAAAAAATGCATAAACGCTTTGTAATCCTAAACTAGCTGTGCTCTGTCATTGGCAGGGGGAAACACACCATCTCCTCGCCCAGAAACCTCCCACGACAACCAAACAACAGACAACATGAAAACACAGTCAGAGGACAGGGTGTCTGCAGATACAGTCACCACCACACATGTACGGTGGCCCATAAGTGGTGATTGATCGACATTACTGTTGTATAAGTCTGTATGTTTTTTTTTTAAGATTTATTTTTTGGCTTTTTGTGCCTTTAATGGAGAGGTTGGACAGTGGATAGAGCTGGAAATCAGGGAGAGAGAGAGTAGGGAATGACGGAGCCACAGGCTGGATTTGAACTTGGACCGCCCGCTTGGAGGACCATAGCCTCCACATGGGGCGCGCGCACAAACCAC